ATTTCCCAGAATCCATCCCAGAGCGATGCCATAACAGCAGAGGGACATTTCTCTTCCCAGTGGCAGAGGCCATCTCCCTAACCAGGCCTCAGCGTGCACAGCAATCCTAGTCACTACCTAAATGCAGGGGCAGGACACCCAAACCAAAACAGTGAGGACAGCCTAGGATCCCATTCTGTTGGCCTGAACTCTAAGCCCTGGTCTACACTACAAAATTACTTCGGTAAATGTCATTCTGGGGTGTGAACAGTCCACTCCACTGAGCGACATAGTGATACTGGTCTGAGCGCTGGTGTAGACAGCGCTGCGTCGGCGGGAGAACGCTGGTCTCTCGCCGAGGTGGATGAGCTACGCCGACAGGAGAAGCTCTCTCCCGTTGGCTTAGAGCATCTTCATTAAAACGCGACAGCAGCACAGCGGTGCCAATGCAGCGCTTTTAAGTGTAGATCTGCCTTGAGTAACCTTCATTAGACACACGCTTGCTTCTTTTAATGCACTGTCCGGGGGTTAGTCCTGTTCATCAGTCTAGACGCTCCATCCCTCAGCCACCAAGTCTGACGCTATCCACTCAAATCTGCCCCATGCTGGAACTCGAGCCGCTTGTCCCTCCAGGCTGCCTGGGGCCAGCCGAATGAAGTGGCCTTTCCCTTCCCTTGACTTAAGCAAACATGTCCTCACGGTGGAAGCCAATAATGGAAACACTCCAGATGTGGGTGCAGGTGGAAACCAGATGGCTTTGTTGCTCTTTGCCTTCCGCTGGACAGCGTTACAAGCCTAGGGAGGCACGGTCAACATGTAAACATCACTCAGGGAGCAGCTTTTTGGAAAAAGTTGTAGGCCAGTGGCTTTTGGAGAGTGTTCCAAGAGGGCAGACCGATGCCAAAAGCAGCAAATAATTTACACTGGTGAGCTGGGTGGTCTGGGTCCCCCCTCCCCCCTTCCGCCACCCTCGTTTGCATCTGTTCATATTTAGAGGCCATTCTTGACCGTTTGTATTCAGCTAGACTCTGGCATTCCTCTTGCTTTGTCCTTGGCCGCAGTCCTCTGCGTAACGAATGTATTTGAGGATCCAGCCAATGCTGCTGCTGAAATCTATCACCCATAATGCTTTAGGCCTTCCAGTAGCAGGCCACGCCGTAGTCAAGGGCACAATTCACTTCACTCCCAATGGGCACCGAGCTGCAGTGGAGATGTTCCACCGTGATCACCTCTGCCTGTCGTCGGCAGCTTCCGGTAAAATCCCACGGCACTGTCAAAAAGTGTAAGGGACGTCTCCCCCAGTGCCCTGGCCGTCATTCCCTCTCTTAGTATTATAGGGAGGGAGGGAGGGAAATAGACAGATGGCTAGATGTTGGAAACTGTTGCTGTTGCTTCCACAGTCACTGCGCTGCATGTATCCAACCAAAAACTTTGGAGGTACTGGTTTGTGAGTCTAATACTGTGTAGTGTAATGAATTCAAATTCCATTTCAATGGGCTGACATGGTAAAAACGATTCCCTTAAGCAAACCTATCAGAGTTGGCGCAGTGTTTTGGCTGTTTTTCACTGACCGACTAAGGGAATTAGGAGCACAACCCCCACTTTAAAATGGCAATGAGCTGTATGTTCCTAAACCCATTCGGCCCCTTTTGAAAACCTCTCCCTTCATCTCTAACTGGCCCTTTGGAGAGGTTTTACAGGCGATTACTTGACTCAGTATAGCCTCTGAAATAGGACACTGGGCTAGTACTCAGGATACCTGGGTTCAAATGCTGGCTCTGCTGCTGGGTGACCATGGGCAAGTCACATCATCTCTCTGTGCCTCCGTCTCCCCATCTATAATATGGGGACAATGATACTGACCTCCGCTGCAAAGTACTTTCAGATCGAAAGCTGCTAAGAGCGAGGTATTATTGTCTTGTATATTATTATTTTCAGGTAGGTAGCATCACTCATCTCAAACAGTTTGCAGAGAGCATCAGGGTGACTCAGAGTGGATAGGTCCTGAGTTCTATCCATTTGCATAGGTATTTATCTTGGCACCTGTCATGGGCTTTCTGAAGGTCCCACTGTATTGAACTCAATTTATTTGCCTAAAAAGGATGAAAGTGTGGCTCCCCCCACCCCCGGCCGGGCTTTGAAGCGGCATTTCTGAAGGATGGAGGCATATCAGAGCTGGTGATTAGATCCCTAAGGACCATGATCTTATCCTCCAGCCAAGCTGCTACCTTCTGCAGTGCCATCTGTGTTGGGTGTGAATGTGGCTATGGGTGGCCTGAGTTAGAAGGACTGCTCCATCCTCTCAGAGCTGGGTTCCTGAGTGGACAAGCCAGAGACCAGCCCGTTGCGTCTGCCCTACCAGTTCTTCTGGTGATTTGTACAGCAAGGTGTGAAAGGCCATCTGATAAGGAAGGGAGAAATGGCCATTGCAGGGGCAGGATATGATGCCCCGGAGCATCATGCTTGAAACCCAGGTGGGCAGGGCAGCCGCAAGGGGCAGAAAACCAAACCAAATCAGGAAAAGGTGCTTTTACAAGCGGTGAGTTAAAAACATGATTAGCCCGAGCCAGCTGCCCTGCCAGAGCCTTGTGGGAGCTTCACATAGGCAATGGCTGAGAACATTCCTCTGAACTGACTCTTGGGGCTGAATCAGACCCCAGTGAAAACGGTGTGGATCTTTTGGAAATCACTTACACGGCCAAAGGAAAGTATTTAAAATGCAGCCTCTGGTGACTGTCTCCTCAGAAGGAAATAAGCATGAACGGCCTGTATGCTTCCAGGAACAGGGGGTGAATCAGCAGCTTAGGGCAGAAAGTAAAGACAGGACCGGAGGGTTCCCAGTCCATGTATGATTAGTATGGCAGTAGCATCTTGGCTCCCCAGTCATGGACCAGGCCCCTATGGTGCTAGGCGCTGTACAAACACAGAACGGAAAGACAGCCCCCGCCCCAAAGAGTTGACAATCTAAGGATAAGGCAGAAGGCAGCACATGGATAGAGACAGAGGCTGATTACAAGAAACAAAGAGACATTGACGTGCTCTGGTCTGTTTACCAAGCTAGTTGAAGTAAGGGGCCCTTGTCTCACTTCTCCTCAATGGCAGCTCTACGCAAGGCGTTTTACAGTTAGAGCTTAACAGGGTCCAGTGCACAGCCCTTGAGCAGGATGGCAGGATTCTTAAGGAAGGAATCCACATCATAGAGAAGGGCCATAGGTAACCACACCTGGAAAGGCTCAGGCACAGGATCAGTGGGCTGATGGCAAATGGCACGGCACGAGTTTAGTGGGTCTCAGCCCAGTTCCCAGGGCACAGATGTCCCTGGCACAAAAACCACCTCCACAACTGGCAGAGTCAGCAGAAAGTCCAAGGGCTGAATGGGACGTAGATACTGAATTCCCCCTTTGCCATAGCGTGGGTCTCTTTCCAGGGCAGGATCCAGGCCTCTGGGTGGGGGTGCAGACAGTAAGTGAAACAAGCTTTCCTCTGTCTGCATATTCCCACAGTGGGCATGGTTTGGAGGGGGAGAGCCAGGGTCCCAGCAAGAACCAATGAACAATGTCATATCGGGGGATCATTTGCTGTTGGGCCCATCTCCACTCTGCAAGCCCTGCCCGGCTCCACATCTGCAGGGCCTCTGGGTGTCACCAGGGAGCCTCTGTCCATCTGGCCTCAATTAGTCAAAGTGCTGCATCATCGAAAGGCATGTCTGAAATGCAAAGGCTTATTCATCATCATGGCAGTGTTTCCATGGGGCCAGGGGAGCAGACAGGCGGACCTCGCCCTGCTGGGACAGTATCGCTTGGAGAAAAGAGAGCAGAACAAGGAGGGGAGATTTTGGATGCACAAGAGATATGATGGGTGTGTAGCAGCCGCTGGAAAAGTGGTTGGGGGCCTGGGACCAGTGTTGGGGAGTGAGGTTTAAATGATTGATAGGAGCAAGTTCTTCCTTTCTCCTTCTATACTTGTGGCTATGCTGCTTCCAGGGGCTCTCTTCTGGCCAGCACAGTCAGCTTGTGCTTAAAGAAGAAGCGAGGGGTGACATGTGGTTTACTGCACGTGCCTTACTTCAGAGACCAGCACCCCTTTCCCATTGCTGAAATTGAAACCGCTGGGTGCAGTTTGAGGGGACAGTGCTCCCTGCTGACACAGCGAGGAACTCGACAAATGGGAGAGGCGCAGTCGGAAATACAAGCTAGGGAGGCACAGGCTGTTACAAGGCACACTCTCTTGGGAGCTTGTAGTGACCCTCTGCAGATCATGGGAGCTACCATCCAGGAGCCTTTTATGCTGATGGCCGCATGGTTGGAAAAAACCTATGACGTAAACCAGAATTGATTGTGGTAGCACCAAGTAATGGGCACTTTGCCAGTCCACGGGAGTAATGCCCGCTCCCCCCCTCTCCCCACACACACACACTTAGGATCCCTGGAATGTGAATCAACTTTCTTCATCTAAAATCTATTTCCATGTTCATGGTCAGCCCTGTTGTCTTTTCTGGTGAGGCTGCCACCTGCCCATCTCACTACCCAGGCACGGCAACACAGGGTCTGATGGAGATATATATATGTGTGTCTGTGCAGTGCAACCCCGCTTCCCCAAAGGTTACATTGGATATCCAGAACCTTGGGATAAACAGGGGAGTCGGCCAGACAGCTTTGGGAAGGACGTGTTCTCACATTCCACATTAGCATCAGTCGCTGTAAAGCACTCACTCCCGCGCCAGCCACCTCTGCATTGTTCTTAGAGTGGGGAGTGTGCACAGATCCCTTGCATGGAGCACCGGGTCAGTGGAGCAGGGCTGGGAATCAAACCCACCTCCCCCATAGGACAGAGGAGATCCCTAAGCCTTTGGGCTCGGCCTGGATTCCAAGAGGAGTTGAGCTCAGATCTTCCCCATAGCTTTGTAAAGTATGACATTGTCAGGCCAGGCCAGGTAACCCTCCCAGCGCTGCGCTTCGGCCTCGCCTTGGGGAAAGTTTCACGTTTTCATCTTTTCTTGTTATTTTTTCCTTTTATCTTAGATCCTTTTTGACCAAGCCCAGAGGTCGGTCCGGCAACAGCTGCACAACTTTGTGAAAGAGTGAGTACTAGTCGATTGGGTCCCCGCTGGGGCTCCCTGATGAGCTACGGACCCTCTTGTGTCTGTGGTGAAAACAGGATTGCAGTGCACTGGCTATGTATATATTCAAGGCGCGGATGGGAGTGAAGGACACATCCAAGGGAAGGGAACCATGAATCCAGCAGTGGGATGGGGTGACCCCCGCTGCTGTTGTCCTGTCATCTCCACATTCTGTCATGGGGGAGTTCCTAGTTCTGGGTGCAATCCAGGCCCTCCTGAGTTTAAAATTTAAAGCTGGACGTGAAACAAACCCCCAGATCTGAGCATCCCCGAACTGTGTGAAAGTTCAGTTCCATATACACACTTTACAAGCTGACTCCTATCACCACACTGGGGCACACCAAACCCCCCCCAGCTCAAACACCCCCCAAAAATCCAGATCCGTGCAGCACGGGTCCGACACCCCCCCGGTAGGAAGCCCTTTGAGCCAAGCCTGGTTTGATCACTGCTGCCACCCCGACTGGATGAGGTACAGAATCTGCTTAGTCCGTCATCTAGATTGATATGGCTTTTAAAGCATAGGTCAGTGCCCAGCTGTCTGTCAAAATCCAGGCACTTCTTCCCCCAAGGGCTTCACTTCAGAATCCTGCAGCCTCATTAAATTCTAAGCTTCTCACCGGGCACCCGTATCCCCCCAAATCAAACCCCACCTCCCAGGACACCTTTGGTGTGTCTGAGGCAGTAAACGGAGCCTGTAGACGTCTGTTGCACATAAACTTTGCAGGTAGGGGGGAAGGGCTCTTTCTGCCTGCGGAGGAAGCAGGCTTCTCGTGGGAGAGATCAGCCAGCCATGCAATCCTTGCACCAGTATCGTTGGAAATCTCGTGAGGACACTGGCACTGTCGAATCCAAGCCTGACTCCTAGCCCCAAGATGGGTAAGATTTGGAGTCAGCCATCCCCCGGCCCTTATAAAATGGAACATAAACCCCCCCCGATGCCACATGGCCACGTGTTCTTATTCGTCAGTCTGAGGCCCGGCTGCCTCGTTCCTTTACACCTGTGCAAAGCGGGTGTAAAACACCCCGTGTGCGTGACAGAGGATACGCTGTCGTTCGGCCACACAGCTGGTGCGAAGTAGAGGAGAATCAGGGCTGGGAATGATCAGGATGTGGAGAGCCCGCATCTTAGCTCAGGTCTATCTCAACCTGCTCTTTCCCTTGGGTGGGGGAAACAGAATCTCTTCTGCCCGTGTAGGCTGTTCCCCCCCCCCCCCCGAGTGCCCGCGCAGCCCATGAGCAGGTACCAAGTGCAGCGTGAGATCTCAAATCAGCTGAATATAGGTCAGCGAGGCAATGGCGGCCTTCAGCTAAGCGGGAGCTGGTTTCCATGGGAACGGGTAATTGAGTGCGAATCCATCAGCAGCTGTGGGTGGTTGGGTGTGGGGGACGACCCACAGTTGCCCCCGCCCAAGCACTCCCCCTCCCCCATCTCCATCTAATCATTTCTCTGATGAGCTCAGATTTAATCTGCTTAAATCCTGGCAGCCGGAAGGGGGAATTTCACCTTCATTTTGGGGCTGTCACTGCATCAGCGTACTTGCGTTTTATTTTCCCTTTGTCGTGCCCATCAGACCCCCCCCACCGTCACAGTCTTCGGCGCTTTGATCTTCAAATTGCTATTGTTTATCTGAAATTGGTTCTGTGGTTGGGATCATTTTAAAGAACCCCCCCGGACCAGGTCGGCAGTTTCCTGGCTGTGAAGCGACAGCAGCTCTGCAAGGTAGAGTTTTATACACAGCCTGCAGCTAGCCCTTCTCACCCCTTGACATTGCTGTGTGATTGCACTCGGGGCTGGCTTGACAGCCATGGAGCCTCTGTTTATCCAGGGGTCAGGCCCAGCAGGGACAGTGGCAGGGCAAGTCCTGCCCCACTCATGTGCCTCTGTCTCCACATGGAGGGGCCAGCCCTTGGGGCGAGAGGAGAGTTTTGTAGTACTGCTGGCCCTGCACTTGCGACCCCCCCCCCAAACCTGTCCAGTGACTCCTGGGTTCAGAAACACTAAACTAGGCAAATATCTCGATGAGTTCATGTCCCCCCAGGAAGACCTCTGCGTACCCCCAGGGGTGCACGTACCCCTGGTTGAGAACCACCGACCTAGGGTATGTTTACATTGCAGCAGGGAGCGTGCCTCCCAACCCAGGTAGACCGACACGGGCCAGCTCAAGCAGAGCTAAAAATAGCCGTGTGGACATTGTGACATGGGCTAACCACCTGAGTATGCTCCGGCCCACCGCCCTGCATCTGTACTCGGGTGGTGAGCCCAGGCTGCAACGTCCACACTGCCAGTTTCAGCACTCTAGCTCAAGCGGCGCTAGAGTTTGTCTGTGTCCATGGGCTGGAAGACTCGCTCCAGCTGCGGTGCAGCCGTGTACCGAGAGGTGAAATGCTTTCAGTCCCGTCACCCAAACCTTAGCCTGTCTCATCTCCCCGCACGCCATGTCCCCCGGAGAGACCTTGCTAAGTTGGACTTAGCCTTAGTTTGTCAGAAGCCTTGTGATGTGCTAGGAAAGGGAATGACCTTCTGTGGCCCTTCACCATCCCCAACCTAATATTTTGGCTCTGCAGGCCAGAGATTTCACCCTTCTCTCCTCATCAATAGCCTCCCAGCGGGAGCGGAGTGGATCCAGCCTCGTGTGTGATCTGATGCTGGGAAGGAAGCAGTGGAAGGGGCGCACTGTTAAGTAGTCAGGGGCTGCAAGAAGCCTCAGCTGAACAGAAATATTGTCCCAAGACAGGGTTAACAAGAGAATCAGGGGTTTCTTGGAGGTAAATAAGAGGGGAAAACACCAGCCATCTGTGAGCTCTCCAGCTGAAAGACCATCTCTGGTTCCACTTCTCTGTCAAGGCTTGGGCCATCCCCACAGACCCCCTTACCTGCCTGGGGTGGTACTGAGGATGTGCCACATCTTAATTCCCCCCAGTTGGGGCAGCAGTAAGTTCGCTTTAACAGCCTGGGTCAAGGAGAAGCCAACACACACTCACCAAAGAGCATGTCCCCTTTTAATAAAGTTTCAGGACAGGCGTGATGACAATAGATAGTTCATCAGGACCCTGGTTCAGAGCTCCCTAACTTAAAGTCCACCAAAGCACGTCGCTGGCTGGTTTCCTTCAGCCTGAGCAAGACACCCTGCCCATTGCAGCCTGCAGAGCTTCTGCTCCTCTCTCCCGCTCTGTTTCCTGTTCCTCTTTAAATAGCCCAGCCCTGGGGTGGGGTGGGGCAAGGCAAGGCCTCCTTGATTACCTACAGGCTCTAGGCTCTAGCGTGCCCCTCCTGTACACCCTCCCATGGACTCCTACCCCTTTCTAATGTGCATAGACGTTGAAGGGCCAGTAGCTCTTCAGAAGGCCGGCTATGGGTTGCCTGGCAGGTGACACCTTTGCTGCAAATTAGGAAAAATCACCTGATTTCCCCACTCCCGACTCAAAAAGCCCCGAGAAATGCTTCCTCTCCTGCCAGGCCCCGCTCCGTGCAATGCCAGCAGCCCTTCTCCGGCTGCCACAGCTCTCATGCCAAATGGGTCCAACTCCTCCACTCTCTGCCGGGCCACTTGGAAGTCTGTAGCTGGAACCTGAGAGTCCATGTGGCTTATTACCTGTTCAGGTGGGTGAGGGCGGGGTAAAGAGACAGCGGCCACTCTCCCCTCCCTCTCTCCTTTGCTAAGCATCCTGGGGAGGAGTGGGGGAAGCGGAAGCCACGCCGTTCATTTTTAGCATTGGCTCAGGAGGGAGCTTGTTGGCAGCCATAATAATAGCTGAGTAGAAAGCCTGACGCCAGCTGTTGGGCTGGTGAGATCCCGTGCCACTTGGCCACGCCAAGCCCACTGGCCAGAGCCCAGCAGGGGTAATAATAAGGCCGAGGGGATATTTTTAAGCTCAGGAAGGGATTGTTTTCATGGTGAAGTTTGTGGCACTTGAAATTCAACAGATGAGCGTGCGCGCGCGTGTTTATGTGTCACAGAGCGAGAGGGGATGGGCGCAGGCCATGTTTGTGCGTGGGTGTCATAGTGAGCCCTTCCAACGTGAGGGGCAGAGAAGAGTGAAGTTGAGGCCCTGTTGTTGTCCATCCCTGGAGTTCGAAGATGACCGTGACCTCACTGATTGGTTTGGTTTCTGTGAACGCGTGCGTGGCTGCTCAGCCCAGTTTGAGCTTTGAACAGTCTGTGGCGCTATGGGTTACTTGATTAACAGCGGACATGCTGCTGTTGCGAGATTTATGCTGCTGGCGCTTCTGCTCTGCCTCAGCAGTTCTCCTCTGCTCATAGACTGTAGCTCCAGTCTGGAGGAGACTTCCATGTTTCCCCTGTATATGCAGTCAATTTCTCCTGGTTTTTATGTCTGTCTTTCTTAAAGCAATGGGGGGGGGGGACGACTTTTCGAGAATTAGGAAAAGCTTATAAATGTTGTCGGGGTGGGGGTGGGGCTGCAGGGGCAAGGGTGGTCACTATGTAACTATTTTTATTTAATTGACTAGATTTCAGTTGAAGGCCCCTTGGTACTTTTGGCAGGAACCAAAATCCAAATGAGGGCAGTTTCTGCTGGTTATAGTATTTTCCTTCCCCTCCTGCCCTAAAGGCTTGTGTTGCTGAGCAGTGTGGAACAGGGGCCGTTTCCCATCCCAGAAGTAACTGTATTTCAGCGAAGGGTAAAGTGATTCCTGTGTTTGCAGAGCATTGAAACACAAATGCATTTGTGTAAGCATCTAAAGTGGTGTAATTATTGTAAACAAGCCAGCATTTCAACGTGAACTATGCTGGGTAATGCCATACCTGAGATGTGTCAGGACATGGAAGTACTTGAACACAAGGTAGTGAGCTTGCCCTGTGCCCAGCAGGAGGCAGGGTGGTCCAGTACAAAGGGTACTGGACTGGAACAGAACTTAGAAAACTTGGGTGCTAATTACTGGCTCTGCCACTGATTTGCTGTGTGACCTTGGGTGAGTCACTTTGTTTCCTCTCCACCCTTTATGGATCCAATATCTCCCATCTGGCACACTAAACAAACAAATGTGCCGGTTACAAGAGTACAAAAAAGATGGAAAAAAATGAAACTTCTAATTCTAACACTTCAAATCAACAAACCCAACTTGCAGGCAGGTCAGAAGAGACATGCCAATGGGCAAAGTGCACTTGGCTGGGCAGTGAATTTTAAACATGAGAACCGGCTGATTTGTGGTATTTTCATAGGCTCCAGTATAGTATGTTTGGTGACATATAATTTGACTGTTTCTTATAGTGCATGTCATGAAATATCCCAGTCTCATTACAAGGCAGCTGGAGAGCATCGTTAGGATTGTGCGGGTTGCTGGAGGACGCCTTGGGGACGCCTCTAACTGTTTTGAAGGGACCACTTTAAAGTGCAGTTATTCTTTGCATCCAGAGGGAGATGTTCTGGGTCAGATTCTGATTCATCGTTTCATGGAGCTTTAAGGCCAGACAGGACCACGAGTGAGACCTCCTGTCTATCACTGGCCATTACATTTCATCCAGATACTCCTATATGAAGCGCAAAGACTTTAGTTAGACCTCAACATTTCAGTCCTCAGGAGACTAAACTGTGTGCCACAGGCACAGAACAGGAGACCCCTTCAGTGCCAAGGAATGGATTAGAAGAGAGATGCCCAGATAATCCTAGCAGGCAAACCAGGCCCCATGCCACAGCGCCCCTCCTCCCTCCCTCCAGGTCCCTGCCAATCTGAGCTGGGGGGAAATTCCTTCCAGCCTCAGATTTGGCAGAGCTGAGTGGGGTCACTGAATACGGTGTGAGGTCAGGGTCTGGCCATTAGAGAGATCATACGCCACCGGGATCCCTGCTGCGTTCCAATGCTGATTCCCTGGTGGTCCTGGCTGCCCTGTAATGGTGGTCGTCCGCTTTGGGTTCCAGTGACGTCCGGAAGTTCAAGGAGACGAAGAAACAGTTTGACAAGGTGCGCGAGGACATGGAGATCTCTCTGGTGAAGAACGCGCAGGCCCCGCGGCACAAGCCCCACGAGGTGGAGGAAGCGACGGGCACTTTGACCATCACCAGGAAGTGCTTCCGACACCTGGCCCTGGACTACGTGTTACAGGTGAGGTTCTGGCCTACCAGCTCCATCCTGTCGTCCTGTCATAGAAACAGGTGAGCCCAGGATAAATGCTGATTATCCATCAGCCGAGAGTAGAGGAGCCAGTGGGTGGGTGGAGGTGAGAAAGGAGGATCTGACATCTGGGTTTTAAATGGCATCTGACTGTGAAATTATCCAGCACTTAACCTGCTGCCTCACATGGCAGAGAATCCCTGGGAAGTTCTTAAAAGCCAATGCATAGTCTGGCGAGACCCGGTCAAAGGTGTTTGGAGCAGACCTGGAACGAAAGGCCATTTGTGTACTGAAGGTTTGCCCCAATTTCAGCCGTGGGGTAGCCAGGCTGCTGCAACCCCAAGGATAACCAGGAAAGCCACAATTTGCCCTAGATCCCAGATCTGCCCTGACCACCCTTTACTTGGCATACCCCAGCCTGTCCATATCAAATGCCTACTTTACCCCTGCTTGAAGGTGGGGTAAGTTCCACTGGTGAGGTTGCTATCTCTCTAACTGACATCGATTGCTTGGCAAATTCCCAGGATAGACAACGCCTAAGGGAGAGCCGGTTTCTCTCAGAAGTCTCTGCCTCTCTGATCTGCAGATCTCTCCAGTAGGGCTTAGAAGATGGCATTGTGCAATCAGCCAAAGTAAGAAAGCGAGATAATGCCTCTGAGTGCTTTTCTCCCCCATGTTCTGATTGTGAGTCACAGCCCATTCCTCCTACAGAGAGTTTCCTTAAGGAAAACCTCTGGGCACATGTGTGCGTGTTTGCATATACCTTTGTGCATGCACACACATGTGTGTATACACATTGCTTGAAAAACCACACCCTAGCTGAAATGGTATATGTCACAATCATTTCTCATAAAGAAAAATTAAACTAATTCCCTTGATTGAAGCTCCTTTTAGCATTACAGTCTCCTCAAAGAACATGGTTTTTGCCCCCATAATTACCCCTTGCCCTCCGCCAAAGCTTTTGTTGTCTCATTTGCAGATTTTATTAGCTGACTTCAGGTTCCTCCTTCCAGGCAATGGGTTTAATAACTGAACAAATTCAGTGCAAATATTGATCCATGTGTCACTCCACTAGCCCTCGTTCCCTGCAGCACCAAATTGGGACCATCTGCAAGCACCTTCTGTCTTATCACGAGATAGTCTATGATGTCACATCCTACTGATTGCTGAGAATCAGCAGTGGGTGGAAAGGGGATGCTGTCCCTTTAATTTGTAAGTCATGGGTGCTTTGCTAACCTTGAGGGATTGTAGCTCTTTGGCTTCTGGGATTTAAAGATAAATTCAGCTGTGGTTGCTGGCAAGGTCACTAGGGAAAGAAGTTCCTGTGTTGTAGGCCAATATCCAATGCTGACAAAGGTAGAAAGCTCCACTAATGCCATAGGCCGATCCAGTGGGATTTCTCTGCTAGCCCTGCTGGGGGGGACGATCTAGAGCCATGCACCCAAAAAGACACAGACAGAGGAACTGGGGCAGGATCTCTTTGCATCTCTTTAGGCTCAGAGATGTTAGAGATGGGAAAGGCTTGGTATTTTATTTATTTATATGAACACGCTAGGGGCCCTTGACACAACTTAAATCTGCATCCTAAGTGCAGCAGTTTTACAAATCTCTGTCCCCTTCACACAATTCCCCTTCCCTATTTCAAACGTCTCGGAAACAAGAGGAGTCTTGCTCAGATGACATAAAGGGGTTGGCCTATAATGCAGACTCTGGCCCAGCATTTTTTTGCTAATGTGCCTCTCACCTTGCCCAAGGATGTGATGAGCCTTGGGGAAAAGCAGATTCCAGCCTCTCAGCTCTCTGACTTAGCACAGCAGCCAAATATCTGTCAGTGAGATGATCAAGGAAAGTTGGAGTTAAATTAGTTAACTACTGTGCAAATCTGCCAAAGTCCCTCCCCCTCACCCCCCCCTCCCCAAATTGGATTGCACGAATCAGTTACTTGAAGTAACTGGGCATTTTTTAACTGCCAGATTAATTTGTTTTTACCAGTATGCATTTGTGTGGCCTAGGCATGCCATCTAGTGGCTGGTTGTCTAGATAAGACCAAACAATTAACAGAAGCCTCCATGGTGAGAGAAAGAGTTCTGGCAAAAAGACACCTTTTGGCCTCATGCAGATGCCAGGAAACGGTCCTAGCAAGGCCATGATTGGCATATCTTCCTCTTTACGGCCTGGTACTTCTGCCAACACCAGACCAGAGCTGCAAAGACACAGCGCTCATTTCCTGGACCGGCAACCTTGGAAAAGCAGGAAGCCTGTCCCTCCCGCTTCCACCCAAAACTAATTTCCATTCATCACGAAACAGACTTTGGTCACAGGCCCGAAATTTGCATGAAGGAACTTTGCTTTTATGAATATTTGCAACAACAACAAAAAAAGAATCCAAAAGGGGCTCAGACCCAGAGAATTGCAATTTAGGACCAGATTCTCCCATGTGATCCGGCACCTTTGCATTCCTCAGGCGGTGCATAGAGGCTGGATTCTGATTGTAAATGGCCATGGAGTTTCCCTTGTGGAGTGGAACCCCCTATTTGGCTCCCATCCATCCGCTATCCCCATCCTGGCTGTGGAAGGGAGGAGGGGGAAGGTTGTGGGGCAGGCTGGGGGTGTTTCTGAGCTGAGTTCCTCTACATGATACTCGCTGGTATAAAGCCCTCTGGATAGCTGTAGCAGAAGATGGGACACGGCTGAGGAAGAATCGGGAGGCAGGTTCTGCCAAACACAGACACACGCCATCTCCTGCGCCCAGCATAGCTCGGACATGGGGGAGAACAGAACCCTCGGTCCCTGATCCAGGAAAGCGTTTGCTGTAACTTTCTCTCAACTCTAGTCTCAGCTACTCCAAGTGCAGCATCGTTGGAGCTAATTGGTGCCACATTTATAAATGAGATACTAACACACCGGGACCTGTTTTGCAGCTGTCATGGTAACATATTGTTCGTGACACTGACAGCTGAAGCCCCATAGAAATCTTCTGCTACATTTGACAGGCTCTTTAGTGCTAATTACAGCACTTGTAAAGCTTCCCAGACTTGCTCATGGGATCCATGGAAAGGTATTATGTAACTGCATGCTATTCATTTTTTATTTTTAAGGCATCACTCTCTCTTCTGCAGCCTCTTACTTTTCATTTCCCTTTCATGTTTTATAAATCTCAGAAGCATTTTTCATCTCCTGACCTGTGGTCCATGACCTGAGCTGACAAGAATTTACTGGTCCTGAGCGCGGTTGCACTGGTTCACCAACCAAACAGCTTTGCAACAGTCTCACCTACCTGATTTTGGCATCTGTTATCTTGTGAACCACTAGTGCTCACTAATAGAGCTAGACACAGCTGCTAGGCTGGCTTTACCTTGCAGCCGGTTCACCAAGCATCCGCTACTATTCTGGTCCTTGTGCCTTTCCTGGGCAAAAGCTGCTTATTGCTTCAAAAGGTGCTGTGATTTTGCGATTCAATTAATTAGGGATTAAGATGAGAGCCCACCAAACTCTCTGTATTGGTGACATATGGCAGGTCTCCAGAAATAAAAGGACAGCACAGGGACCTGCTGCATCATGCCCTGTCTTTTATAACGGGGATTAAAGCTGGGATTTTCCTGGTCCGAGTAGCACGTAGCAGGCTGAGAGATGTTGGAATGTGCTTTCCAACCGCACGGCTCAGCACCTGCGGAAGGAGCACAAGAACCGAGGTGCTTTCGCACCAACACTGCCTGTGTTTTGCAGAGAGGCATTCCAACAGCTGCAGAATACATTTCAGAGCAAGACCCTCCCAGCCTCACTAGATGGTGCTGTCGTGCTTCTCTGACCATGGAAATGTGGTGCTCGTCCAAGGACTGAATGTGACTGAAGGCCCCTTCTTTCATCCTTCGAGGTGACCACACATCACAGGAGATGAGAGGCAGACGGGGGGCCGCGCAGGGGAAGTTTGCACGGCAGCTGCCTGTGCTCTGAAGATAACTTCGGTGTCCAGGGCTGTCAGCCCTTCCTGAGCGCTAAAGTCACTGATCTGGTTTCCTTTGTCAATCACAATGTGTTATTTTAGCAACAAGGTCCCAGTGCAGGCACCGTGGGTGCTGGTTACTTGGCCAGTTGAGCGATGGCGAACGCGTAGCCCTGAGCCAACACATGCGGCACTGACACCACTCGATCGAGCTGCTAGGAGGAAGCAAAGCAGTGGCCCACCAGATTTTAAAGGTGCATCGACATCACGGGCACCAAGTACTGAACAGTCTCCTGGGGCCAGCCTAGCTAGTCCGATGATCTGCAGTAACACCAAGGGGGCAGCATCTTCAAATGCACCTAGGTCCCTTAGGAGCCTACGTCCGAAAATGTTACCCAGGGACTTTAATTTGTACACACTGGCCCTTACCCAGAAATCTCTACATCTCCGAGTGGGCCCGTCAGACGCCAACTGCCGCCACCTGCTTAGGGGTGTTGCAATGGGTGCTGCTTGCTATGTCTAGCCCATGGGCTGCCGCTGCTGAGTTTCTTGTCTTGATTCCCTTACAGATCAATGTCCTCCAAGCCAAGAAGAAGTTTGAAATATTGGACGCGGTAAGGGCGCCATTCAATTTTCCCTGCTGTCCCCAGACTTAGTACACTGCAGTGCCGCATGCTCCATTTCGCCCAGGCGGATACACATCCACCCACGTCCCCAGCACTGAGACGCAGGCAGGAAGGCCAATGTGGGCTGCGGGGTTCTGGAACAATAGCGCACCACAAAGAAACAAACAATCCCTCGGGGCTCTGGAAGGGCGAGGGCTGTCAGAGAGGAGTGACAGTGACACGGTGGAAAAGACAGTCACTATGTGGGGAGGGATGGGGGGGGATACCTGCAAGCTTAGTAAGATTAGAGGCAGGAGGAATGGAGGGGGGCCACAGAGGAAGAGAGAGAGAAGGTGGGAAAAGAGGATGTGTTGATGTCTGCAGAGAGGTGATGTTGCTGAGCCTGAGAAGGAGATATGCACGGTCTAGAAACGATATGCTCTACCTAGGTACATATATGGCCACCATCCCCATAGCATATGAGCACCTAGATGGTGCGTGTGGCCTCAGAGCACCCCTCAGAGGTAGAGCCGTATTCTTATTCCCATTTTACAGAGGCAGAGAGAAATCGAGTGACTGGTCCAGGGTCAGACAAGGAGCCAGTGGCAGAGCCAGAAATAGAACTTAGCTCTCCTGAGTCCCAACCCAGGGCCTGGTCAGTCACAAGAGCATGTTGTTCTGTGAGGTGGGTCGCTCCTTCGCCATCATCAGCATGGAGGAGAGCTCCCCCAGGCTAGCGCTGTCCGCGATGTCACCCAACAGAAGGTATTGGAGTGACGCGGGGGATTCATTTGGCCCTGGCAGAGGGAGGGGCTCCGAGAGAGCTCTTTTAGAGAGGATTGTGTCTGCTCAGGCTGTTTTCTTAGGCCAGCACTGAGGCTGATATTCTACTGGGGTGTATGAGTGCCCTGCATAATCTCCCCTCCCCTCCCAATGGCTCCGCTCCTGTTCTGACCGTGTGCCTTGTTTCCCATCCCCAGATGCTGTCCTTCATGCACGCCCAGTACACCTTTTTCCAGCAGGGCTACAGCCTCCTTCATGAACTTGATCCCTACATGAAGAAGCTGGCCACTGAGGTGAGGGGTTGGGGTGAGGGGATGCTTGGTTCTGTTTGCCATTTCCCTGCAGTGATCCCTTTGCCGTGAAAGCCTTGAGCATCAGGACGGGAATGTTCCAGAACCTGCCTTTGCCAGGAACATGGCCGGCATGGGGATTCGGGAACTCAGCCATAATTAGACAAGTTGGCTCTTCCTGGGCATCTCCTGCTCACTGGACCAAGCAAGAACTCCTACGGTCCATCTGGGGCTGGGCAGCCCTCCCAGACACAAGGCATCCTGGGTTGTTTGTTTTTTGTATTGCATCTTTCTTGCTGAAGTTTAGGGCCTGGGCGGGAGACATTCCCTCCAGATTCCTAACCAGATTCTAGCCCTAGTCTTATACTGAGCCCAGTGCATGCTGGGGAAGGAGTTGGGAGTTCACAGGGTGGTGGGCATGCCCAGGCCGTGCAGACAGGAGCGCGCAAGCTCATAGCGATGTGCCTCAGGATCGTCTCTGTGCTTTGGTCTAAGGAGCTCCCCGTAACCAGGGCGGTGACAAAGCATCACCCCAAATCCCAAGCTCTGGGAGGAGGTCCCAGCGGTGGAAAGCTGGCTGCCGCACCAGCCCGCAGCGCCCACCCAAACGCAGCCTCACTGGACCCGGGGAAACTCGCATCCCTCCCCAGGACGTAGGCCATTGGCAAGACTGGCGTGAGCCCAGAGAATGGCAAGCAGGAGAGATGGCTGGGGGCACAGTAATGGGAACCATCTCGCTGAATTTTCCCTCGGGTTTTCTCCTCCCTGTCTTCAGCTGGACCAGCTGGTGATCGACTCGGCCGTGGAGAAGAGGGAGATGGAGCACAAGCATGCCCTGATACAGCAGAGGGTGAGTCCCCGGGGGCTGCGGGCTGGCATGAGAGGACATCACTCTCCATTAGCCAGGAGAGCGGAGTGGTTAGCAGCACCTCAGCCTCCCAGCAAGGGGACTGCTGTGGGAGAAGCTAGCGGTGGGACTGTAATGGCCCTGCAGCTGGGTTACACGCCATGCGGCAGTGAAACCTTTCCGCCGTCGTTTGCCGGAGCTGGGTTTGGATGCAGCTGCAGGGGAGTCCCTTCCCAGCTAGCACTATTCTGGTTTACAGAATGGGAGTGCCGTCTAGTGTCTAGAGCCGGAGTGATCAGGAGTCAGGACTCCTGGGTTCTGGGCCCACTCTACCCCTGGGCAAATATTAAACCTCCTTGGACCTCAGTTTCACCCTCTGTGTGATGCTTTTCTGCCTCCCTAGGTGGTTGTGAGGCTTAATTGGTTAATGCCTGTGAAGCCCTGTGAGGTTCTCGCACATAGGGGGCAGTTCCCAGAGCATGTTATTGTCATGAGTCCATACATGAAAACAGTGTCATGTAAGGCCGGGACATTACTCTGGGAAGCCAGGTTTGGCTGGGGAAGCAGTTAGAGCAGCCCAGCGGCTCTCCCATTCTCCCTCCCTCGTCTCATCCATTCCCTCCCTTTTCCCTTCTCCCATCCCTGCCCTCACAAGCCGGACAAAGCGTCTGGCGAGCCCCAGCGTCTGCAGCTGCTATGGTGGCAGCACATCCCTCCCGAAACTTGTCTGTCTGCTCGCACATGTGTCCAGCCAGCTTCCCCTCCACCTTTCCCCAGGAGGCGGCAGCAGCACGCCTGACTGCCCAGCTCCACCAGATGGTCAGCGCCCCCTTTTAACTCAGCCAGCAGACGGATGGAGCCATTTGTTCCCTGGGGGCTGGGCTGGCTGAAGGGCCGTTTCTTCATTCACATGGAGATCACCCCCCCCCACCCCGAGTTAGGTTAATGGGTTGTGAGGAGAAGTGGAGGGAGCTGGGAAATGCGCCTGTCTTCCCCACATCTCTCTTCCCTCCCACAGAATGAATTCCCAGCTACCAGGGTACAAGAGGCCCTGCCTGCTTTCTGATCAGAGAGCCCTGCGACCCTCCCCGCAGGGGCAGAGCAAAGCTATTTAAACTGAGCTCCAATAGATAGGTACAGGTGGTGGAGAAACCAAACTGCCTTTCGCTACATGATTAGATAGATAGATAGATAATGTCTGGGGATGGGTAGGTGAGCAGACTGAGGGGTACATATGGGGATCGATGGATGTCCCTTCAGCATGGGCATTATTAGATATAAAGAAGGATCCTCTTTCTTCTTTAAGGAGTCACATTCTGCCCTTTCCTAGCACCCTCTGTCTGAGGATCTCCAAGGGCTTCACAAACATTAATAAGTTACTCCTGACAAAGCCTCTCTGAGACATCAATACTAGTCATCCAATTCTGAAGCTAGGAAACCTGAAATACAGAGAGGTGAAGTGACTTCCCCAAGGTCATGCACCGAGGGTGCGTCTACATGGCAAGCAGAAACCCGGAGCGAGTCTCAGAGCCCCGGTCTCCAGTCTTGGGCTCGCACTGTGTATACGTCTGGGCTTGGGCTGGCGCTATGTTAACATGAACTTGGTACATTTTAGTTCACACTAGCACCGTCTACGGGCAGGGAGGGGAGTTACAACGCAGCCCTTTGGTGTGCGCAGCAGGTCACACCCTGCAGTCTGAACTACAGGGCTGTTAGACAAGCCTTGAGCCTCAGCCCCCAAGAGTTTATCCAAGGAATTTTATCCCTTCCTTGTCGAATCACTTATTCGTAAATAAATTTTCCCCGTTCTATAGATGGTCAAAGAATATCCATCAAATAAATTAGGCCTGATCTCTTTTTCACCATGATTTATTCACAAACATTTTTTCCCTTGTCTGCAAGTTGTTTGCCCGTAACAAAGGAATTGTTAATAGTGTTTTCACTTGATTGTCTCCTGCCTGGTTTATATTCGCAATAATGACCATGGCCCATGGTGCTCCTGAAGAGATGTCTACTTCCCAGGCTATCAAGTCTCTTGATCCCTCTGGCTCTAAACACTAGACGGCACCAGCCAGTTACTAACCCCTGGAATATGCCTTGTGCCGTGACCATTATTACTTAAAGGAAGCCTCCCCTCCGATGAGCCCAAAGAATAGATTTTCCTTCTCCATCAAGAAGGCAGCTGTGGGGTGGGTAATTTCACCCGTGAAAGAAGAATCTTTTGGGGGAAATTTTGGTGCTCCAGTAGAACCTTGATTTTACGGCCACTAATCTTACGCATGACCAGTTATACGAACCATTTTTCCCAATGGAAAAGAAAAAAAATTCACGTCACAAAAGCGATGTCGATGATGAGTAAGTTGACATCCCTTCATCTACTAACAAGCCAAAGGAAAGAATGCCTGTGGCTGGATCAACGGCCCATGGCACGCAGTGTAGATCCCCTTAGATCTCTGTGGGAGCAGTGGTTCAGTACTGATGAACAGGGCAGAGTGAATTACCAACACCACTTCCTGTGTTTTCCTTGGACATCTCCCTCGGATGATCCTTCTTTAGCTTCTAAGCTATGCTAAGAGCACAGTCCTACAGGGCATGGCTTCAGAAACAATTATGCCACCTGTGTTACCTGTGTCAAAAGTACCTCTGAGAAACAGGGCAGATATGGAGTTTGGGCCCATCCCCAGCTAGCAGGGCTACTGGATCCTTGTAGAAACACCTTAGGATCTTTTTGTATGACAAAGCTGCAGTTTCCCATGGAATATTAAGACTAAGAATCTTGCTGAGTTGCGGGAGGGAGGTCAGTGGAGTCTGCTTAAATCTCTCTTCCCTGGGGCCTAAGTAGGTTGCTTAGCTTGCATGTCCTGTGGATGTCTGAAAGGAAGTGCCCAGCTGAGACCCAGGCAAAGCCCAATATTGATTTTGTACTCATGGGCGAGGAAGTGGATTGACAGGCCGGGATGGGAGAGGGCAGTTTGGTCGTCTGACGGCGGCCGCTGGGGAGGAGGAGATGGATTCCAGCATTTCACTGCCAAAGCAGAGTCCAGGCTCTGCATAGAGAGGCATGTTGCGTTTCTCACCGTCCCGGAGCAGGACTGACTGGAAAGGATTCACGTGCACCATGCACTTAAAAAGATGCGGAGCCCAAATCTGCTCCGCTGGAGTCAATGCATTTGGCCAGTGAAGCCAGTATGTCACTACCCTGCCTTGGCATGACACCTAGTGACAAAGGTGTGCCACATTCTGCTTCCGTTGACACCAAAACCAGAGTTTCACAACTGGAGTCTTGGGGATAGGGGGCAAACCCTCTGCTGGTTAAATTGACATACCTCTATTTGCTTCAGGGGAGCTGTCCAGCAGCTGAGGGTGGGGCTCTGGGTGTTGCAGTTGAATGAGTTCTTGACTCTGGGCCCACAGACTGATTCAAAGCTAACCCCCAGAGCTGGATAACGAACTCCCAGTGCAGTAGTAGGGGAAGGGTGTAGGTCTGCATGATCAGGGATGAGATGCTAAACTGAGGTCTTCTTTGGCAGAAATTAAAGATCCCATTGCAATGCTTGTAAATGGTAAGGGATAACCCAGGTGTCCAGCCCCGACGTCCCCTCCTTTGCTGACACAGATTCTAACATGGCCTGTTGCAGAGTATATACCAGTTGCCGCACTGACAGCATCTAACTCGTCACTCTGTACAGCTGTGGAAGACCAAATAAAATGCTGTTCCCTTGTGCTATTGCTGGACGTTCAGGAACAAGTTTAGAAAGCAGCCACAGTGCTGTCTTCTCAGTTTGAAAACCCAGAACTACACACACACATTCCCACGAGCCCACAGTGTCAGATTTGCCATGCACATCAGGCATTGAGATGTTTGGCTAGCTGACCCCAGTATGCAGCTACTGCTTGCATGCAGAAATACAAGATTTGGAGGGGCACAGAAATTGCATGGATAATTCTGAGCCTGCCGGTGGATCTGGAAAACATGGTTGCTAAGCCTTGCGAAGCTTCGCTGGGGATTGATTTTGCACTTGATCATTAGGGGAATGTTAAGTAATGTGCCTTTTTTTCTTCTTTTCTCTCTCATCACCCATCGCTGATGTGCCCCCTCCAGACTCTCCTGCAGGTGAGTACAGCCACAGTTCTGTGTGGTGTCTTTTGAGAGATTGGTTCTTCCCTTTTGTGAGCTAAGTTTCTTCGAAGGAGTTGCACTTGACTACACTTGATCTCCAGTGAGCCCTGCTTTTAGATCTACACTGGCAATGGGATTAGATCCTGGCTGGATCCTTTAGTGCACTAGCCTGTCCTCTCTGGAGAACTAATTCCCAAACACAATTGCAAGTAAGTTTGGTGGTTTCATCCTAATCCCTAGTAGATTTTCCTTCACATAACAAAACTGCCATGCAATATCCTAGATGACTGGCAGTCTTGACTCAAGAGAGGCCCAGTTCTGGAACTGCAGGGGTTCCGTGGATTGGGACTGAAGTGTGTTGACCGAGCAGTGGAAGTAGAATAGCAAGAAATTCTGCAATTGAAGATGGATGGGCCAGATTTTTGAAAGTATCCATGTGCCCGAAGATGCAAGTAGGCACCTAGTTGGGTTTTCAATAGGTCCTTGGTGCCTAACTCCCATTGAAATCCTATATGCTTTTGAAAACCTCTCTAGGTGCCTGTCCCCATCTGCAGGCACCTAAGTACTTTACAAAATTCTGGCAAAAGGTGCATTGGCAGTGCCATGAAAGGGCCCAGGACAGCAGAAGAGGGAGTGCTGCAGGTCAGGAATAAGCTGCATTGGCAGAGCTGTGGGTCTGGAATAACAGGGGCTTTTATAACTGAGCAATGAGGTGCATTGCCAGAGCTGCAAGGCTCCTTAGGACTGGAATGGTGGGTGGTGGGTCTGAGGACTGGGGTGGAGCTGCGTGGGCAAAGCTTGCCCAGCGCATACCCACGCTCTTCTTGGGTCCAACCAACGCTCCTCTGTCCCTGGCTTCGGTGAGCATGGAATGTTAGGCGCACGGAATAAAGGAGCAAGTAGACTGGGCCATGCGCTGCTAACGCTGGCTTGGGTTGCTGTTTCTCAGCACCATGGACACTTCCTCCTGTGCATTTCACCTTGCCATGTGTTTCTGGGTGGCAAACCGGAGGCTAAGCAGGCGCTGGATTTGTCAGCTGAAGTGCAGCCATGGCTATATATGTTATTCCCACCGAGTAGAACACTCTCAGGCGTGGAATTCAACAGATTGCTGAATCGACTGTGAATTGACAGAATGATAAACAGAGTCTTTCCCCCTTCTCCCTGCTCCACTGATCACTTAGCCACAGCTGCTGCACCGTAGCTCCATTGCATAAACCTGTTTACTTTAGCTTTATTGACACGGGTCAGGAACTGTTCTGCAAACCGCCAGATGGGACAGCCTGGGAGACAGGAGCTAGTTAATCTGCTGCCTGTCTTCTTGGAGCTCAGCTGTTCTTCAATACCTGCTCCCTTTCCCTTCAACCAAGCATTAAGGTACTTGGGGAGGATGTCTGATGGGATCCTCTTTGGTTTGTTACCAATGTGTGTCCATATGTTATAGAGGTTTAATTATGCACTGCCAGGGCACAGCTCAGCTTGCTAGCCAGGAAGGACATGAAGGTACAAGCCCTACATCTCAATCAGATCCGCGTAAGCTAAGCCGTGGGATCCCTACCTCTGCTGTATGGAGCTGAGAGTGAAAGTCCACTGCTGTGCGGAGGCTACTCAGTCCTAGACGCTGTGTCTCCTGTTGCTCAGGCTTCACTCATGGCAGAGAGTGTGTCCTGCTGTCTGCAGTCTGAGGTGTCCAGTCCATTTGACAGCAGCTCATTCTATCTCCTGGGTGTAGACAGATGAGCTATTGAGGCTTTTATATTCTGATCCGTTTAGGTCCTTCCCCGCAGGAGATGACAACAGTGAGGCCATGGAATTAGGACCCTTTTCTGATGAGATTAGGTAAATGGCTTCAAAGTGAGATAATCTCCAATTGAACTGCTGAATAGCAAAGCAAAGGCAAAATCCTGAGAGAGGGAGAGAGTCTGAGAACTCGATTTAATCCACTGTGCGGTTTCCAACTTGTGTAGGCTTTCACTGGGACGCTTGTTGGCTGATGGCCTATGAGAGCTTGTCATTCTCTCCAGGCCGATAGCTAAGAACCCCACAAGCTACACCCCACCAGGAGTCCTTTAGCACCAGCAGAAGATAGGACAACAGGTAACACAAACCACTAGGAGAAAAACCAGGTCATGCACAGATAAAATTTAGAAGCATCCAAATTAGAAGCCTCAGATCCAGGCACTCAGCTGAGCCCTTCACTCTAATGGGCTGAACCAAAACCCCAGATCCAAACATGTCCCGACTCCCAGGAAAGTTGGGGACTGGATTTAAAATGTGCAGCTCCAGCTTCTGTCTCATTTCAACCTGAAACCAGGCAAAGCCCAGGTTTGGGGGGTTGCTGAAACCTGACTCTGAAATTAGACCTGCAAAGGTGTGAAACTCCCACCCAAACCCACACCAGAGAGATGGATTTGCCTGGGTGAAATGTGTTTAATTCCATGTTGCTGTGTGATGAAATCCGGCTGTGCCTGCCTTTTAATTGTGATTGGTCCAAGCTACAACTCCAGATCCTGAACTCCCCCAGATGTTAGGAGGTTTCAAAATCCCAGTCTGGATCCAGACGCCAATTTTGCTTTCTTTATAAAGAGCCAGACTGATTCTCAGCAGCACTCCTGAAGGCTGGGGTGTTGGAATGCCAGGCCTGAGGATTATAACCTTAGTCCAGCCCTGCTTTGTTTTTCTTTTTAAAAAACGCGACATGAGAAAAACATGCCAGGGATATTCGTCCCATCTGGGCCACTCCTCAGAATCGCTGACAAGCCGCACTGTACAGTTTAGAGTTGGACCTGGAATCCACTTAGCATCTCATGCGCTGTGGCGAAATAAGAGGCGATGCGCAAGAGCCGCGGACAAACCAGACATTCAGGAGCTAAGTGAAGAAACACAGGAGGCAGAGAGAAAGCAGCTGTGCTGGGCACAGAATTCATTGATAAGTTCACATGTATCTAGGCTCTCATGCAGATCAACGTTCCTCTGCAGGGAAAAATTGAGCAGTGCTTTCATGGCACTTTCTTTTTTTAATGCTCTCTCAGGGGAATGTCATGCCTCATGAAATGAAAGTGTAACCGAATTGGAAGGCTACTGACAAGCGTTTCCTGTGTGTGCAGATGCTCTCTTAGCCTGATTGCCCTGCGGGGAGGGAAAGAAATCCATTTGTGAGCCTCCTGGCGCCCTGGAGGGATTAAACGGGAGTGATGACTTCATCGGAGAGAGCAGGGAAGGGTCTCTCTAATGCAATGCATTTAAAACCAGCCATTTCACACAAAGCTGCTCTACTAACCAGACTGGCCGGGAAGAGCTGAGGAATGACTCGGGATCAGACGCGGAGAAAGCAGAGCAATTATACCAGATGGGGATCCTTAGGAACAGAGTGCCCCATGGCCTTGGCTCCCCATGTATATGACCAGTGGCCTTGGGAAAGTTAGACAGCCATAGTCGAGTGCAGGGCTGGAAGCATTTCGCTTCCAGCTGCAGTAGGGTCAAATCAAAGCCCTGGATCCAGTGACCCCCAGACCATTGCTTGTTAGAGCCAGACAGGAATTTTGTTTTCAAAGTCAGCAATGCCTGGAGAGCGTGTGCCCTGGCTGGCTAAAGGAGCCAGTGTCTCTCTGGAGGCAGCAGGGAGGCTGCAGATAAGCAGGTTGAATTGGCTTTGTGAGGGGGTGGGGAATAGGGGATGTCCAGATAACAGGGTCAGGTGAGATTAGTCTGCTCCATATTATGTGCTCTGTGATCTCTGTGGAGTAGAGCAGGAAACAGCATGGTCCAGCAAATAGAGTGTGGGACCAGGACTTCAAGAGAAAGGGGTTTGACTCCCAGTTCTGCCGCTCATTGCTGTATCCTGGGCAAATCACTTGGCCAGATCGGTGCCTCAGTTTCTCTGTCTGTGAAATGGAGACAGTGATACCCACGTTTGTAGAGAGCTCTGCTATTGCTGGATGAAAACTGGTCTCATTCGAGGAGGTTGTTACTTCTTTGTCTCTCAGCATATCCTACTGGACACTGCATTCGCGGGTTAGGCGTGGAATCAAGGGGAAATACGATCGCATACATAACAGCCTCTGACACTGCAGCAATGCCACTGGACCATAGTCATTGTAAGATAAAGATTTCACCCCACTTCATCCCCACTCTCCTGCTGAGTTACAGGGACCCACAACTGCCTTTTCCCTGGGAGAAGATAGGCAGGAATATATTTTGCCCCATCACAGTGTCTCCCCAAACAACATGGCACTGACTCCAATTTGAAATATTGCTTTGTGGGTCCTGCCCTGATGATGACTCTTATGATGGTGTCTTGCTAATTGAATTACCCCTTGTCAGGTTTGCGAGGGGTGGAACGCAGGCAGGCCCTTCGAAACCCGTTAGCTAGGAGAAGCTGCGATTTGGATTGAGGGTTGGTTGGTTGCTTGTTTGTTTGTTTTTTAAATAAAGCAGAAAAAATTCTGCAAGGGAGAAAAACTTGAAGTGTAGCTGGATTATTTTCCTTCACACTGTTATTCAAGTGTCCTTTTCTCATCCCTCCCTCGGCCCCTGCTGTCTTAGGGGCATCTGTCACCTTTTGTGCGTATTCCCAGTGCAGCAATCATTTCAAGCTGCCTTTGTTATCTTAACCACTGCCCCCTTTGTCCTCCTTGCCCGCTAGCCCTACAACTCTGAGGAGTTCCATTTGCTGTTTCACACTCTACATGAAAACAAGTAGTGCTTAAACAGAGGGCACGCCAATAAAATTGGAGCGGGGTGGGGGGGGGCTGAATTGTTATGGTTTGGAGCAAACCTTTCTAAACTCTCCTGCCAGCTGGGAAAAGCGAGAGGACACGATTTTAACATGAAGCTGCTGGATCAATCTGCATTTACTGTGTGCACAGCCATGTACGTGTGGGGGAAAGTTACGCGGTATTTAAAAGGTGACTGCAGAGACACATTGTGTTCCTGCTATGGCATGGCTCCTCTGGAGATGTGAGTTCAAATTTGTCTTAAGCCACAAGTGAAAT